GCTGTAGCTAGAAAGAATTTCATAACGGTAAGCCTTAAACCTTCGGAATTCAACTGAAGGAAGCACTCTTCAATTTCAGATCTGAACTCATCTGCACTGCACCTTACAGCTGAATGCGGATTTCTCTTACGTCACCTTGAGAATTAGGGTAACAATGGTCTGGTTATTTAGAGGGTATGTTCGGATCCCTCATCATGCAGGAGGGGAGGCTTACATCGTAGACTCGGATGTTGAACGGAAACTACTTTGATGTTTGAATAGGTAGTACATGTAGAATTAGCACCCCGTTCGATCACTAGATTATATGGTTGACCCAAAACTCTTTCCGATTGTTAGCAAGGCCCATGATGTTGTTTTCGAAAGCTCATCTGTGGAACTCGAACCGCCATACAAAAAGTTTGCAGGCCAACATAAGCCCAAATCCCTTAAATCCATCGCCCCTAATCCAAAAACCCTAAAGCCTAACCCACCTAGATCTTAGGTACACCGGCAAACCCACGAGCCCGAAAACCCCAGAGCCTAAAGTCCTTATATAGACCACCAAACCCATTACACCCCAAAAACCTTCAGCTTCTTCACTTCGCTGCGAAACCGTTCGGAGATCCTGTGCAAGACAAGAGGCCGGCTCAAAAGTAGGGCGGTGCAGCCTGGAGAGCGGGGACTTACATCCCGAGGCTTGCAAAAGCTAACTCTTACCGAACGCCTGAAAAACCCTTGAACCCTCAATCCCAAGTGCACCAACTCGGGGCCTTTCTGGAGCTCCGTCAGGCAAGCCCCTGGATGAACTGTACCTCGAGCGGCTGCATCCGAGCCTGCGGGCGATGTTCGCGCGCCACCGAGTTTTTGGGCAAGGTGTGGTCCAAGTTTTTCGGGTTTTGTGGACTAGGGCGGGTTTATTAGGAATCCGGTTTACGGGGTTTGGGTCCAGGAGTTCGGGAAGTTTGGAGGCTGATGCAGCTTCATGTGCTTGGATCTTGGAGGTTAGAGAAGCAGCGGCCTAATGCTATTGTTGAAAGCTGGGAGCTGGGAACCTTCTTCGGGGTCTCTTATAGTTGCGATCCTTTTGTTTAGGTCCCCCCCCAAAATAGGATCCTGATGAGAAGGGACCCTATCAGTAAATGAGGTACCTCCAGTTTTGAGAAAGCTCCGATAAGCAGATAGCATTTGAGTTTCACAGCTGGCGATCCAGGGCAACGGAGCTTTCGGTCTAGCTAGCCGAGGCCCAGCCCTCTAAACGCCAAACCTTGAACCCATAAACATCCGGGTTTGTCAGGGTGCTAAAGAGGGTTCTCCAAAGGGTGTTTATCAGGATTGCGTAAGTTATGACAGTGTAGGAGTTTGAGAGATCGGGGAGAGTGATTGCGGCATCCCCTAATCCGGAATTTCCTAGCAACCTCGATTGCATTCATGTCCCACCCACTCCTTGAGGTGTCCTCGCCGACGCTGAAGGCGATGTGGCAGCACGAGGCTCGCTCACAGGCTGCAGGGCTTTTCGCTTTGTATTCGAAAGGGTTTTTTGTAGCGGATCTCTTTGCTGGTTCAGTGGCTTAGGGTTTGGGCGTGGGAACCCAGGCTGTGCCCTGAAATCTCAAGGAAAGGCAGAAGGTCCAAAGTCAATTTTTTCGAGTACGGTACATGACGAAAGAGCAACAGGAATGGAGTGGTATGGTTGGTTGCCGTGATGAGTTCTGCCTTGCTGCAAGAACATCTGAAGTATCGCATTCTAGCCTAGCAGTCCGCCTAATTTGACTCCAAACCTTGGAAGCTAAGATGTCTGTGTCTCAGAGTACACTCGCTGCGAGGTGAAAGCAGCCCTCGATGGTATGTGGGGCACTCAGGGGACCTCCGCTGCTGGGCGATGGACTACCGTTGACTTGAGAATGTGAGGCGTTTTGAGGATACAGGAAGTGACGGTTGTAACTCATTGTCGGAGCGGCGCACTGGAAGTTTTCTTCTCGAAGTTTGGGATTTCGGGGTTTAAGGGTGTCTCCTCAACTCTGCACCTCTAACCCTGAAGGGATTGTAGGACTTCGCAGCTGCGAGCTGCTCAGGACAACAGATGATGTCTCCAAGCTCGATCCGTGGCTTGGCCTCTGTGCATCGTTGTGGCTTAGAGCTTTTGGGTTTTCAGGGTTTAGCTGCTGCTGCTGCTACTACTAC